AGATACCACCTGTTACCTCGGAAGCGAAGCCGGTGCGCGCTCGAATTAAGGGAATAAACCTTCACCTTTTATTGTCGTTCTCGCGCACAACGCGAAACGGGAAGGTAATCACGAATAAATATTCTCTCCCCTTCATATCTCTCTAATTTCATAAGATACAACAAAGGGTCTCGACGTCGGAGATAGCTTATAAACACCGTTTCGTAATAGGCAACGCTTCCTTTCCTGCGATTATTATCCAAGAAGAAGAAAAAGAAATCACTGCGCAGATCCGAGATTATAAATTAAAAACGCTGTAAGTATCCGTACATTTCAACTTCCTCGACTTTGCTGCCTTTGTATACTTAATTTTTTATCTATTAATTTTATCCTTAATGTATTTAAAAAAACAGCAATTGAAATATTGAAAAACGAATTTTTTATTAATGAAATTCTTATGGATTAAAAATAAATAAATAAAAAAGAAATGAAAACAAACTTACTCCTTTATTCATATCTTCTTGAGATATATCCATAATAAATAATACTTTTCATTTGATTGACAACAACACAATACATGTGACAGGTTACATCTAACCTATCATTCCCGCCATTATCACTTCGAGATGTATGTACCAATGTTACCAACATTCTCTATTGGGATACTACAACGAATCTCATTGGTGAATCATTTTGCTCTTAAGTTCACTTGGCAGCCAATGAGAGACCGTATTGACGAAATATTACTGATTTTTCACCTTTTATTAACAGAATAAATAAGGATAATAATACGCTTTAAATCTTCCTTGATTAATAAGAAATTTATATTCCAAAGCTAATATAAAACTATTCAGTTATCGAGAATTAAGGTCACGACCGATCCGGGCTCGGTGAAACGCATACTCTCTCGCTTTTCGCCAACCTACGGTTGGCAGTACTTGGGAGAAAAATAGATTTATCTTGAAATGAAAAAAAAATTAATGCAATCTCTTTGAGGATAATCGAATTAATGTATTTAAAGAATATTAATGCAAAACTGACGATTCTCTAACTTTTTCCATAACTGTTTGAGGAAACCGAAACTGCTAATTGTATCGAAATTCTGAAAATAAATGTCTAATTTTAGAGGAGATAATTCTCAATAAATATTTGTGGCAGTTTATACATTCAGGTGAGGTCGTGATCTCTCTGTTCGTATTCTCTACGGAAATCATGCATTGCTGCAGCTGCATATATGGGGGGGTGAATATATTATTTCATGTAATGGCACACATACATATACGTTTACACATATGGTGATCACTTACCGAAACAATAAATTCTAACGGAAGACACTTTCGAAAACAAGAAAGAATTATTAAATTGAAGATTTATTAAGAAGCAATATGCAGAATTTTGCATGTTAAAAAAGTGCCAATTTTATTTTTCTGAGATATTATGTCTATATACATATCGAGTAAATTTATATGATTAAGATATAAAGTTGATACTTAATAATATTTTTGTTGTTTTTTAAATTTCTTTTCTTTTATTTAAAACTTTTTAAAAACATATCGAAAATTGCGATAATTTCCAAGTCCCAGAAGTTAAGTTAATATTTTAAATTATGTCGAAATTTAAAAATGAGATGCAAACTTCTGACAAAGTAAATCGATTTGGAATATCTATAGCAGGCACTTCCGCCGAAAGTGCACCCTGCGAAAACTTCCGGCCAATCGGTCGCTCGCCCCTTGAAATCGATCAACCTGAACGTTTGGTCACGAATGAAACTGCTTGCGTGTCTGTTACGGGGTCAAATAAAACGCGAGATATCGGGTGCAAGATAAACAAAACCATTTTTTAATAAAACCACTGACAAATCCTTGCCATGAAATAATAATTTGTTCGTCGATTTTTAAGGATAATTTAAATTTAATTCTTTAATTCCTAACAATAAAATGTTATAATTTTTTGATACTATAATTATACGGGATTTATTGTATTAAATCTCTTAAAAGATTCAGTACCTTTTCTGTAGATATAATTAAAAAGAATATAATATTTATATAAAATGCGCGCGTTAGACGTAGAAAATAAATGTTGCGGACAATATTGTCGAATTATGTTTTCATGATTATGAATGATTAGTTTTTTGCTCATCATTGCGCTTAATAAAGCAGGGTATATGAAGTGACCTAGATAATTCTTTCTTGATTTCTTTCAACCGCGGATTTTTTCTATTTTATCGTAGAATTAGAAAATTTGATAGAATATTATATTTATAATGATATTTAAAATATTATATATAATATTAAATTATATTTAATTTAATATAATATTATTATATATATAATAATTATAATTATATATAAATATATATATATATATATATATATATATGTATATGTACATATATATTTAATATTATTATTATATTATTCTTTTTTCTTATTCTTGCTAAATTTGTCAAATATTCGAATTAATAAACAAAAGTAAAAAAAATTTTTGTTTATACAATTTTAATTCGGAAATCGTCTACTGATTTGAAATTGCGACATTAATAATATGCAAATATATGAATATTGATGTCTCGATACCTTGATCTGTGAAGAGACTATTTTGACGGAAATTTTATCAGAAGTCGCGTATCGATCGTCAAGAATTATAGCTAACTGAAGCGACCAAGTAACCAAATCTAAAGCGAGCCGAGTGAACCCTGGACAATCTCCAACATGCTGCTTCTATTCGCTATACACGCGAAAGAGAAGCGATGTTACCCGAAATATTAAAGTAGGTTAGAAGGCCTACCGAATTATTATTCATTCGTTACCTTTATATCTCATCATTTCTTGAAAAATATTTTAATTTTATAATATTATCGTAATAAATAAATGACGAAGATTTGGCGTTAATCTATAATTTTAATATTGTATTATATATTATTTAATCTAATTATTATATTTAAATATTATTTCTGAAAATAAATATTATGGTGAAGTATGTGATAAAACGATATAAAGTGTATCGATATAAGATATTTGCGGCGTTTGCAGACGTGCTTTTTTTAAGTACGCGATTATGTGTCGTTACTGAGGCACATTGTGACTGAACGTTGTTATGTTCGATAAACGTGAGGTAAAATTATCGGACCGTCACTTCGACACGTTCGCTGCCAGGTGCGCTATAAACGATACAAGCGCCTTACTTTGCGCGGGCCATCATTTACAACCAACTAGAAATATATATATATATATATATATATATCGCGCATGAGTGTATCCAGGGTGCATCTGGCTTTGCCTTGCTATTACCGTTCTTGTGCATAGAAATTATTAACGAACTTGAGCTTTATACGAATTTAATCGATCCTCATGAGTGAATATGTTCCTATGTACGTATACATAGCAGCGTGGAATGTCAAATCGATGATAGATAGCCTGTGTTTTATACCAAATATTTTAATGTACTTTCTTCCAGAAAAAATTGTATTAAAAAAATTTAAATTCGTCAAAATCGATGCATAAGAAATTATTAAAATTTTTTTCATATGTAAGTTCCAGGTTAATTAATATATGGAACTTAGTAATTTCAAACCGAGAGATACAGTTCCGAAAAATTAATTTTCGCGCTTTGGCTCTTGGCCGATTTTAACATCATAGTTATATTATTATTATAAAAAATTATAATTAAAAATATCAATTACACAGGACCCACAAAATAAATTTTTTTAATTTTTGAAACCAGAGTAGATATTTCTTATAGATTTTGATCGTTGAGTACAAATCCGTAACCCGTTTTACTCTATCTAGTGTTTTAGATAATCGAGAAAAGAAATGCAAAATTTGAGGAAAAAATCAAGAAACCTGTATACTTTTACAGACTTGTGAGATCGAATTTTTTTTCTTGAAAAGATCTTCGAATTGATTTTTTCTTATGTGCTTTTTTTGTTTCTCTTTGTAAACTCCCGTAAAAATTTGACAGTATAAGCTCATTCCAAGTACCTTGATGACGTTTTTCAAATTAAAAAAATTTTTTTTTAATTTAGGCTATCTAATAATTTTAAATTTCACAGTGCCTTGTGCACAGATACTTAATCCTAACGAAAAATTTAGTTTCGTTAGGATAACGCACTGTCATCCGCGAGTTGGCTCTTACTGCCTGTCTTATATCTTTAAATTTATATTTAAAAATTCACTTTCTAAATTCTCACATTGACTACTTCCCTGAAAATCTTGAAGATTTGAGTAAAAAACAGGGTGAAAGATTCTATCAGGATATCAAAGATATGGAAAAACGTTATCAAGATATTTGAGCATATGATGTCAGATTTTTGCTGAAGTTTATAAAGAAAAACAAAGAAAGCACATAAGAGAAAATCAATTCGAAGATCATTTCAAGAAAAAAATCGGGCTCACAAGTCTGGTAAAGTATACAATTATACTAGACAAAATGGAGTAAAAGATTACTAAAATTTATAAGAAACACCTCTCCTAATTTCAATTGTATAAAAAAATGTATTTAAAATTTTTTGGGAGCCAATCTCATTAGCCCCATCTCCCACACTTGTACATAAATAGTTTATAATTAATCAAATCGATAGATTTTTACTTGTATATTTCAAAAATATTTGAATTTTTGTTTGCATATCTCCAAAAAATAAAGTTATTAAGAAAAACTTTGGTTTCTTGAATTTTTTTCTCAAAAATTTTACACTTCCTTTCTCGATTATCTAAAAAACTAGACATGATGGAGTAAGATGATTTATGGATTTAGATTCAGCAACTCAAAATCAATAAGAAATACTTACTCTGGTTTGAGAAACAAAAAAATAATTTTGTAGTTCTGTGTTATTAATACAATTATAATTGTTTTGTATAATTATATAACTCTGAAAATTTATACTTACAATTAATAAATCTCCCGGAGCGTGATAAGCTGTCGCATTCTCGATCGCTTTATTGAAATGTTGTGTAATTAATAGTAATTATCATTAATGATTAATACATGTCCGCGCATTAACGAGATCGTTTTCCGTGTTCCAGGTGATAGACTTCGGTTCGAGTTGCTACGAAAATCAACGGGTATACACTTACATCCAGAGTCGGTTTTACCGGGCGCCGGAAGTGATACTAGGCGCAAGATACGGCATGCCGATCGACATGTGGAGTCTCGGTTGCATCCTGGCGGAGCTCTTTACCGGTTACCCGCTGCTGCCGGGCGAGGACGAGGCGGATCAGCTGGCGTGCATCATCGAGATGCTGGGCATGCCGCCGCAGCGGCTGCTACAGAACTCGAAACGGTCGCGCCAGTTCATCAGCTCGAAGGGCTACCCGAAGTACTGCACCGCGACGGCGATGCCGGACGGCACGACAGTGCTAAGCGGGGGTCTGTCGAGACGAGGGAAGCTACGTGGTCCGCCGGGCTCGCACGATCTCGAGCGCGCCCTGAAGGGCTGCGATGATGTGTTGTTCCTGGACTTTTTAAGACGTTGTCTCGTGTGGGAGCCGGAATACCGGATGACGCCCAACAAAGCGCTTAGGCATCCGTGGCTGCGCCGTCGACTGCCGAGGCCACCAGGCGATAAGAACGATACTTTACCGGCAGTTACGTCGGCGCAGCCCGCGACCACGGGCGGCTCCACCCTGAGGACGTCCGCGTCCGGCAGCAGGAGTTCTAGCAAAACTAACAGTTTGCAGAGTGGCAATAACACCAACGACGACATCACCGCGAGCAAAACGACAGGTCAGCAAAGAGGAGGAAATCGTTTGGTCGAGGACGTAGTGTCTACTTACGCGGGTTATCCGTCGTACGGAGCGTCTCAGTTGCACAGCAGTACCTGGGGCACGACGGGAGGACTCAGCAGCGGTCACCAGTCCCTCAATTCCGTCGGTGGTGGTGGTGGCGGCGGCGGCGGTGGTGGCAGAAGTTCCTCCAGCAAGGCTAACAGTCTACAGAGCGGCAATAATACCAGCGACGATGTTACCACGAGCAAAACGGCCGGCCAGCAGAGAGGGAATCGCTTGGTGGAGGACGTGGTGTCGTCTTACACGGGTTACTCGTCCTACGGCGCCTCCCAATTGCACGGTAATACCTGGGGTACAACGGGCGGAGGACTGAACAGCGGTCATCAGTCGCTCAACTCCGTAAGTAGTAGAAGCTCCAGCAAGACCAATAGCCAATTACAAGGTGGTAACAATGCGGCGACCGGCGATATTCCCGCGAGCAAAACCGAGCGCCAGCAGCAGAGGGATCGGACGAGCGAGTTGCCGGTAACGATTTTCGACTCTTACCCACTCGGCTCTTACGGTTGCCTGTCCGAGTCGCAATTGCACGGGAATCACCGGGCGAACCAGAGCAGCAGTCATCAGTCGCTCAATTCCGTCGACGGCGCGACGACCGGCAAGTCCCAGCGCGCGCGTCAGACGCATCAGACGCAACAACAACAGCACAATAATAACGGCACGTCGCATGACAATTACGGCTCGCACGGCTCCTCGAGCGGCTCCAGCCGCCTGGTATTATCGCTCCATCCGGCGGTCCAGGAGATTCTCGAGGAGCTGAGACGATAGGCCGGGATGCGAGACCACCCTTTCTTCTCTCTTCGACTCATTCGCTCATTTTCGTTCTCAAAGTGGCTGCTAACGAGTATTGCGTATCCAACGATCGCGCGGTTTCCTCATAGATAGGAGAAAGATAAAAAAAAATACGTAATGCAAGAACGAGGTCCCGGTTAACCGACGTCAAACTCGGCTGTGGTTCGCTGCCTGTCGTTCGGCTCTGATATTCGATCCACATCGCCTCCTTGACTTAACGTCGAGGAGGGTTTACTCGAGATCGAGAGGAAGGGTGGCCGTCTCATCAGCGATCTCGGATTCACCAGCTGTGATTCACACGTTGCGTTTCTACAATCGCCGGTGTGGCTAGTTGTAGGTGGGATGTGAAATAGTTATAATTTCACGCGAGATTAAGAAAGAGAGAAAGAAAGATCCGTTCCAAATGAACGTGTGTTGTGCGACAAAAAATATAGAGTAATAAATGTTCTCTCAAAAACTCTCGTTGAACGTTTCGAATTATAGTCTGAAATATTATTCCGAGAAGGAATAATCGTGAAAATCTCAATTGCACGGAAGAAATAACGATTATTTGAAAATAAACGAAAAGTTTTGTTTAAGTGGGATAATTAAGTCAAGACCATTATGAGCTTTTAAGTACGAATTCTATACTTGCAATATTTGATTATTTGTAATCGTAAATTTTCAATAACGAAATTAATTCTGATTTTTATTCAATTTTTTCTAGATGAAACTTTTTAAATAATTTTTATTAAAAGACTATCGTATAGAAAATTAAACGATTGTAAGAATTAATATAAATTATATGCATTTCATAGAATTGCTATAATTTATATAATCAATGTAACGTTTTATTTTTTGTATCATACAAATATATTATATATTTGTGTTACATTATATAAGTAAATAAAACCGCTGAAAAAATAGATTAATTTTTGACTGAAGAAATTTTGAGTAAAGATCGAAATACAGTTTCACTATTGAGAAAAATGTTTACGATTGTCAAAGTCATATACTGTAAATATTGAAACATTAGTACTTGAAGGTTTATATTTTAACCTTGATATTTTCACTTAAATTTTCTTAAGAAAATGAGCCAATCGTTACAAAAAGACTCAATTTTGCAAATTTGTCGCTGGCGTTATAACAATTTCACTTACCTCGTTATGCAAGGATCGGTACCTTGAATCGTCCTTTCGGCTGCGGCGACGTCGTTTCGCGTTGCTCTTTGATCCAGTCGTTACAGCATTTATCCCTGCTGTCATTGCTTTTGGTCTTGAAGCATGCGATTGTCTCCGTGAGAAACGAATTTTCGCTACTACAATATCTTTCTGGATTTTCTATTAAAACGTCTGAAGTTCTCAGAATAATAAATAAACTTATAAAATAGAAACGAATCAATGTATAATTATTTCGAAGCGTTATGTTCAAAGTTCTTTGCGTACGAAATATATAGTGGACTCAAAAGACATTTCTTTGTTTTTTTTTTTTTTATGAATTTCAGAACGAGCAAAAGTCACGAAAGAAAAAAATACTTGAGTTGCTAATTTATGCTTGTTATCGCTCGACTGTTTCGCAATGTTTGTCCGATAAAACATACAGTCTAATATTTAAAACAGTATATATCTGTTTTGTTAAGTTATATGTAATTATTACTATCACACTTATAGTTAGACGAATAAGCAATATATATGAATCATTCTTATTTCTGTTTATTTTACCATATGATATTTTTTTAGTAAATTGATACGACTGACTTTTATACCAAGATAAGATAACCATGATATCGAACGGAATTGCCAAAAAAAATGCTCTTGATATATATTAATATAGGCATAAACCCCCATAAATTTATTAATGCACAATTGTTATGATTATTTATCTTCAGCATGATGTACACGATTTGAAATTATTATATCAAGGAATTGTTACAAAGAGCGAGCCAGGAAATCCGGACGGTTCGATAGGACATACGTGATACAATTTGATATATCAATACGGTGTATTGCAATGCCGCCGACGACGTAAACAGATATAGTGACTCGTTCACGAGAAGTGCAATCTAATAAGGTGGCGCATGCTCGACTGAATAGTGTAATTTGGATCTTAAGATTGACCCAGATTGCGAAAGGCGCGAAAAAGGACGCTGATTTCCGCATGTCATCAGTTGTAGATGTTTCTTTTGATTATAAAGATACTATGTATGATTTGAAGGAAAATATATATCATCTTTTTGTCATCAACATAAGTAACGATTCGCTGCAGACTTAATAAAAAATCAATTTGAGCGAGAACTATAAATTGCAATATTCGTAGATTAAATCAATTGAATCATTAATGAATATTAGTTAGTATATTCTATAAAAATAAATTAAAAAATTATGATAAATTTATGTAATTTCTTCGTAATTTTTTTGTAATTTTTTTATACTGTACGCACATTTAAGTATGTGTTGTTTTTGTTTTAATTATTAAATCATAGCAATGATTTAAAAATATTTTTTGTTTTTAGAGTAGACCAAAAGATTCAATCTTTTTTGCTAATGCTTATAATTAATTACGCATTTACAATTGCGTATAAATTTTTATTAACTTTTTTTCGTTAAATTGTGTTTAAAAATTCATGATGTAGAGCTACGTGGCTCAAATTGCTCATTATACTGTAAATCCTTAGCGAATATTCGGTTTGCATTCGTGATGAATTATAAATGCTTGTTAGAAAGAGTTTCAATTAATCCTATATAAATTTTGGTCAGTTCTGAAATGTACTTTATTAAAAGTGAGTTTTCATCGCGAGAAAATGTTCACTATTAACAGGGACACACCGAGAAAATATATCCTTATAACGTGACTATGTTATACTCGCAGCTTGCTTACATTTATCTGCGATAAACAGCGTGACGCACAATTTATGACAAAGAGGTCGCGCACGGGGTTTATTAACTTGGCTCTTCTCATCTCCGTCTGGACTAACTGGGTTAATTTCCCTCTGCATTCTCTCCTCGGTGCTTATTATTCACGCGCTATGTGCTTTAAAATCGGAGCGAAAACGGCTCGATTTCTTTACCTCGCGTTTTTATCGCTCTCAGCAGACGCGAGAATTTTCCATCCATCTTTCCCGTTCTTTTCTCCCGCAGATACAGTTGATTGAGTTTTACAGGCTACGTCTCTACAATGATAAATTCGATTTAAAAAACGCGTAACAAAAAATCATGTCGGGAAATAAAAGGGATTTCCTGGCTCGCACTGGGTTAAACGATTCTAGTGTCCTTTCCGACCGTTTTAATTCCGCATTATTATCAATACCTCATAAATCCGATCATAAACGTATGGTTTGTAATTGAGAAGTATGCATTTATAAATATTTTTAAAGAAAAAAATACGATGGGTTGTAATGTGCATAATTTTTTTACGTAAAAATTATTCAAATAGTATCAACTTAGGTATCAACACTACTCAGAATTGATAAATGTAAATTATATGTAATTGTGAAAACCAGAAAACTTTTTAATTTGTTACGTTTATTACTTGAAAAAAGAGACTTCAACGTATTATTCTTATAAGATGCACTGTAAAAAAATTTTGTAAAATTACATTAAAAATATGTAAAATTACATAAATAATAAATGTAAAATTACATGATAAATAATGAAAAGGTAATCATTTCTATTATTTATCGTGTAATTTTACACTTATTATTTATGTAATTTTACATATTTTTGTGTAATATATTACATATTTTTTTACAGTGTGGATCATGTCTTATATTTTTAGAATCAAGACCCTTCTTCGCTGTGTAACTTTTTATTTCAATCAAAAACTTGAACAATGTCTATATATTTTATTTATTTAGATAAAATATAACTCGCGATTCCGTCTGGTCGATACCAGAACATCGATTACCGATGTAATCGATTCTTTTTCTACATATTCCACTCAAGTGCAAATATATTGCTGCGCTCACAGCGCAGATTAATTAACATGCATCATTTGTTCTTGCATAGCATCCTTCATTAAACGTTAAACGCGCGCCTTAATTATCACTTCCTATCTTACCATTGTCATTGATTTTCCCCGAGTTTATTTCTAGCACTACTTTGCGGTCGATTGTTTAGTCATCGAGCAATTTGTACAGCAGAGTAGCTTTTAGAACGACAGAAGTTCGCGAATGATGCAAGTGCGCGTCTGACGATGCGAAATCGCTAAATTTAGTCCGGACAAAACGTGCGTAACGAACAGTCGTAAGAATTGAGAGCATGGATGAGCGACGAGAAAAGAAAATAACGCTATGAAAAAGGTGCGAAAAAAGGGATATCGATTTAATTGCAATGACAGCAGCGACAAAGCTCTCGATTAAGCTCGAGAGGAAGGAGCGATCGGCGGCAGTTATAAAAATCGTGATAGACCGAACGGCATGTCTTGTGATATGGAATTTAGGCGTATTGGGATTTATACTAACGAATATAGATAAATATATATATATATATGTGTGTGTGTGTGTGTGTGTGTAAAGTACCGTATTATATATACGTTATGTCGAACGACGAGTTTGTAAAGCGCGATGTAGCTTAATCCTGTCGTAGGTAGGAACACTAATATGCGAAAGTATCGATGCCCTCTATTCTTTTACTCCATCAATGTACGAAGAAAACAAGTATCGATATACCATACTTTCTTCGAAAGTATCGGTATAGATATATATCGTTTTAGATATCCTTATAAATAATACAAACATTATTTATAAGGGATATAAGTGGGCCTCTCCTACGTTTTACGATCGATACTTGTCCTCTTTTCGATGACCGAGTGAATAAAAATACTGGGTATCGATCCAGCTTTGAGTATCCGGTCCAGTGATGCGTTGGAAAACACGAGACGATGTTTGTAACATGAGTTTCGAGTTTGAATTTTCCTTATCTCGAAATTGATTCTAAACGTGAAAGAATCATCCGATTATTTTCTATTTGTATTTAGCATGCGATGACTAATAGTAGGTAGTCTTATTAATTCCTTCAGCAATATTATTTTGTAAATTCTCCGTTTGCCTGTATAATATTAACGATTATTATATCGGACATCGAGAGATTATCGTATCGCGCAATTTGCATTTGGAAAAGTTAATCTCGTCAAAGGATAATGCGTGACCGTGAAAGTGTTAATCGGCGCTTCACCAAATCCTAGAAAAGTAAAAACTAATCCGTCGTCGTTCCGCCAAATCCCGAAAGTCGAATGAAAAAAAAAAAAAAAAAAAAAATGGAAAAAAGAAAACATTGACCGATCTCGACAATTAGCGCGTGCAATATTTGGACGTTAATTTGCTGCGCCGAGATCGGATTAAATCACTGCCGATAATTTATTAAGTAGGCGCCACGCTTTTTTTACAAGCTGGCTCATTTATGCATTTACCTAGTCTCCATTTTCCCATTGTCGCGAATTTTAACATGTGGAGTGCCAGCGACGATTTGCTAATGTTGCATGCAAAGATACTATTATCATGCAGTGAGATTGCATTCGCGAATGCGCTTAACTGTATATAATAACGCGTAATACATTTGCTAATTAATTTAGTAGTAATAAAATATTGTATATACACATAATAAATATCCTCGCGATAATTAGAGATAAACTTTTTCGAAAAACAGAATAATGTCTGTATATTATGACTGCTTATAATGAAAATTTCACACAGTAACTGAAAATAAAAAAACTTTTATTCAAGACTCTGA